TTGTGCTGCCACGCCGATGACGAGAATGTCTTGGTCAGCGTCTCCAAAATGCTGGATCGCCTGCGATCGCTGCCGCTTAGGATGCCGAAATTCGTTTGCTGCTGCTGATCCACGGCATTCCCCGCCTCGGCATCCAGCGGCGCCATCGATCGATCGAGCGAGCGAGCGAAATAAAAATTCTAGGGCTCCAAGAACACAAGTAACTTCACGCTGGAAGAGACTCGAACCCAAAACGTCTTTGTTCTTCCTCACGTTCTTAGAAAAGAGAATAGAAAAAACAAGAATGAGAGAGGCCTCTGTTGTGTTTTCCTTTCCTTCCTTTCTTCTTCCTTGTGGCATGGCACCTCCTAAAAAGAAACCGGTCCGAGGAGTCGTGAATTAGTTTGATGGTGCTACTAATACAGAGAGGGGTGGAAGTCGTCGTCGTGAATTTTTCTCGTTGCTTCGTCGTCTCGTCCGTGAGAAAAGCTCGCTATGACGTCAAGAATCTGAAAACATCCCGCAAAGAAATAATGCCTTCGACATGTCGGCTGCCAGCTTCAACGCAAATCACTCGCCGGACGCCTGAGAAACAGCGAGACAATGCTTAGAAAAGAAAAACGAAAGCAAAAACTGGAAGAATGATCCACTTCACCTGGCGTTGCGAGCCGCTCAATCACGTCTCGGAGCGTGTGTGAGCGTAGGCACATATGACACCGAGTCCCAACGGATGATCCTCCGGTCCTGTTGTTATCCTGGCCCATTTGCAAAGCCTGGACGAAATCAAAACGTGTGAAGTGGAGCGAAAGCTGAGAAACACTCTTACTTGTCCGACTGTTATCTCGTGAAGATGAACAGTTGCATACGCTCTGTCTCTTGCTAACGACGTAATGTCGCTGTTCGATCATGTCACAAACAAAAAACGTAAATCTCCACACCACCATCGCTGCAAAGGCATACCTTCTAGTGTAGACGTCAATAAGTGAACCATTGTCGTCAAGTATTGGTAGCGCGCTCACATTGGCTGCCAAAGTTTCCAGCAACTATTTTAAGGCAAAGACGACTCTTTTTTTCCGATTTACCTTGCAGGAGAAGCGAAAACGCGGCGCTGAGAGGTGCGCTCGCCCGGAGCATTGCCAAAGGTCGGCAATTTGCACCGCCGACTTCGGGACTCCATGTTCCCAGTGGCAGTGCATACAAAGGCTGCAGCAGGAGAGGCAGCCACGAAGGAACATGCCGGAAATGCCTCAGCATACCTGCATATAACAGCAAGCATTCAAGTCAGAAAAATCTTATCGGATTGAAAAAAAACGCTGCCATCGTACATTTTAGAATGTCTGAGAGTGTCGCGAGATGTAACACCTGTGGGACGAATCCATCCTGTGCTGCGTGAGTTAGCACTGGGAGCGTGGCGACCTCGTTCATCAGTAGCTTGTCCGTGAGTTGTCTCAAGGAATCATCAGGGCCAACCTGGAATACGGATTGTGAAATAGATCAGGAAGTCCGTCAAAACTACTCAAGGCATATCAGCTTACAGAAATAAGGTGTCTTTGTCGACGAACTCTGAAGAAAGTGGACTTCTCGTCTTTCCACACAGCGATGGTATGAGTATCAAGCTCCTCCTCGGATAGCATAGATCCTAAGTTTCCAAGCTGTCTTAAAATGATAATGAAGTCAGATGCGCTAAGCATGCCAACGAATTGCTGCCTTTCAGAATCCCATAAAGGAGCTACGGTCAAACCCTGGACAGACATAAAAACGATCAGACTTTTAAGATTAAACAGTGTATCATACCTGCTCATAAAGAATATGAAACGCTTGTTTTACAGGCAGCATGACGTCCAAGACAATCACCTGACAACCAAAGAAGAAAAGGAGTGAGTTGAATGCACAGAGATTAACCATCAGAGTAAAGCCACCTTGCCGGACTCAGGAATTAATTCGTAGGCAGTATGATTGAGCAAAAATTCCGCAAGCCTCTGCTTGGAGGTTTCAACCTCACCAGCGGAGATGGCTTGCGGTCGTGGCTGCTGATGGCCATCTTGCAAATCTATCTGAAACACAAAAGGAGAGGAGAGCAACATGTTAGAACCAATCTACAAACACAAACTTGCGTTCTTTTTACCATGTGGTGGCCGGAGTTTTGATCAACGTCCATGTTCGATCCTGACGTTCCACCGTCCCCGTTTGGGGACGATGCAAGCTCTGGAATCTTCACAGTAACACAGTTATTTACATTTCCGTGCAGATCGTGTGCCACGGGCCCTTGATGATCCCATCTCCACTGTCCATCCACAATAAACTTGTACTGGAATCGAAACACGAGAGATCCATCAAAAACAAAGGAGAGACGAAGCAGCACGATCTACCTCATGGTAGCCAACAGGCAAGTTGAAGGTCCCTTGGAACACGGTTGGACAGTTCTCGAGAGGAGTCATTGGTAGCGTTGTGAGCCAGCTGCAAAAACAAAGAATTCATCAGGAATGCTCATCACCCCGAGAAGCAGTGTTGCTCAATCCCGAGAACGAAAGGAAAAGAAAGGAAAAAAATCACACCTTGTGAAGGATCCGCAGAGAAGGACCTGTGCGCCCCCATGAGGCCAGATGAAAGTCGTGGGTACCAGCGCCAAGTTCCTGCTTTTACATGCAATACCCTCCCGGGACATTTGTCACAATGCTCTCCTCTCTGCGACGGCCGCCTCGCGCTAAACCCCCGAATGCCAAGCTTCCATCCCCCTTGTAACCGAAACATAAATCCTCGTCGTCGCGAAATCGCAGCTCCCCAAGCACACCACTGTCGCTGGCGCTGCTCAATGGCCGTGGATCCGCAGCCAGCTAGGTCTTGATGATTTTACCAGCCGGGGACGATCCATACCTGGAGCCGCCGTCGCCATCGCCATCGCCAAAAACCCTAGTTCTCTCCGAGCTACACCATCACTGGGGGGAGCTCTTTCGCCTTACTACCTAGTGTAAGTAAGAGTGTGTGTGTGTGTGTGTAGCACTTTTTTTACGTCTTCTGTATGCGTGGTAAACTCTTCCCTGCAAAATTTTTTAACCATGGAGGTAAAAAACAAAAAATTCCGAGCGTCATCTTGCCCCCTCTCTCCGGGCATTCCAATAATTACGTTATTAGAGGGGGGATCCTCGCATCTGGGCCGCACGCTCGCCTCTCCATCTCCGTACAACTCCCACGAAGAAATGGATCATCTTACGGAAGAACAGTTCTTCCGCTCTCTCTTTTTCTCGCCTTCTTTGCTTAAAGGAAGAATCTCCTGCGACTCGTGTCCATGTCTGGCTGGAAACATGAAAAAGAAAGGGAAAAAAAAAAAAAAAACCATTTAGTACCTCGTCAGTTACTCATTCGCGATGAATTAATAAAGAGCAATCTCCTGTTGTTCAGGAATATAAATTCGATCACTCACCTTGTGTACCCATTCGTACTCGCCATGCTTTGTATCAAAGGTGCCGTGCTGCAAGCTTAGCAACTTGAGTGTGAAGCGTGGGCCACATTCCTGCGTAAAAACAAAAGACTGTGAGACAACACAGCCCACGACAAAAAAAGCAAACATTTTCGCAAGGAGGGCCGCGGACTGTGCACCCCACTCACCTGGAGCCGAGCAATCACAGCAGTTTTCTTCTTTTTCTCTCCCTTCTGCTTCGTCTCCTTTGGCTCGAACACGTACCTGGAAAAATGCACGCGCAACTTGGCCTCTTAGACCTCTGAATACAGACGCAAGGAGATAAATTAATGGTCGCACCTGTGATGCCGGAAAAATATGTAGTCGCGCTGGTTGTGAAAAGTGACTACACGGCGGCCGCGAAAGTTGGGATCTTGATAGAACAAGGATGCGAACATCCTGCCACAGAAACAAACACATTAGTAAACAGCATAAACACAAAGGCAAATCTAGGAAGAGAAGTGTCAAACAAATATAAACACCACCTTCCAATTCGATGGCCCAGGCTGGTTGTGAAGTTGTTAAGAATAAGCTCTGGGAGATGACTCGTTGGCCGTCCATGATTCTGTCAGGTCACACACTACACTGAATCAATCAATCCAAACACTTACAATGAAAAAAGAAGGGGAGTCAGATTCACGTGCCTTAATCTCCTTTCTTAGTACAAGATTCGAGAGCCTGAAATGGGCCGTAGGTCCTTCGGGTAAATTAACAATCACCATTCCATCTGAAAAGTCGAGCGAAACAATAAATAAATCCACGAAGTAAAGCAGAAAATGACTGAAATTTTGATACCGGGCTCTCTGCGGTTCTCATGAATCACAACTATCGCTGTAAAGTCTTGTTCAGTAGCATCCTTCACAAGCTGTACAGCGGAGAGTCAGGGAGATGAAATACAAACATAACTTCACACCTGTTTAAGGCTGCGTTTATTCCGCTTGTAGTACTCCGTGTTTGGAATGACACTTTGGAGCTCCAATATCAGCTTGAAAGTTCTCTGGAAAAAAAGAAAAAAAAGAATCGCAACCTCAAGTTAAAACAGCAATGCGTGTAGAGTTTTCGATGTTTACCTTTGAGCACTTCCTGCAAGTTGTTATCAGGAGCTTCGGAGATTTGTCCCGGTTAAAATGCTCCGCGAATTCATCCGTCGCGATGTCCGCAAGCAGCTACACAAGAAGAATAGCAGGACTAACACAAAAAGCAAGGAGTGAGTTTTTCCACCTCATCGTCATCGGGTCGGACAATCGTCTCATCCGGTTCGCGAGTATTCTCAATCGTTCGTGGCGTTTTTCTCGGAGGAGGCTGCCAAGAAAACAATTCAGAGAGATTCCCCAGAGATTCATCCTACTTACAGCTTCTCCGAGCTCAATGCATTCCTTTTCCCGCGCATCCCGAGCCTTGATTCGCAGCTTCTTCTCCTTCTTCTTCTCGCGCTTGAGCTGCGCGAACGCCTCCGATCGGCGCTCCTTGTTCCTAATCAGGGACGGCTTCTTGCCCTCTTTGCCCTCGCCATCGTCTTCCCTCAGCCGCTTCGTCCCCATTGCGAGATAACCTAGATTAGGGTTTATTGCGAGCTAGGGCTCATGGCTATGGCGGTGGCGACGATGGCGGAGGAAGCTGGAGCGCGGCGCGAGGAAGCGCCGGAGGAGACGATCGAAGACGACGACGGGTACGTAGAGTATGTCCCGGTGAAGAAGCGCCGGTTGCTCGAGCAGCAGAAGCTCCTCCAGAGAAAGGGCCAGAATTCGTCGCTGGTGGAGGACGGTAGGGGCGCGGCGGAATCCAAGCCCAGCCTGCTCGTCAAGGCATCGCAATTGAAGAAGGACCAGCCGGAGATCAGCGTCACGGAGCAGCTAGTGCGGCAGGAGAAGGACATGATCGATCGTCTCTCCGAGAGGAAGACGCTCATGTCCGTGAGGGAGCTCGCCAAGGGGATCACTTACACAAATCCAATGCAGACCGACTGGAGGCCGCCCTCTCACGTCCGGCACATGAGCGAGGCCGAGTGTGATGAGATTCGCAAGCAGTGGCACATTCTTGTGGAAGGCGAAGAGATCCCTCCTCCGATCAAGAACTTCAAGGACATGAGATTTCCCGACCCCATTCTTCGCAAGCTCAAAGAGAAGTCCATCACCCGGCCGACGCCAATCCAGGTACAGGGGCTTCCAGTGATCCTCTCGGGCAGGGATATGATTGGCATAGCGTTCACGGGCTCCGGTAAGACGCTTGTGTTCGTTTTGCCGCTCATAATGCTCGCACTGCAGGAAGAACAGAGCTCTAGTCTAGGTAGTGGTGAGGGTCCTTTCGGGCTGGTTGTGTGCCCATCTAGAGAGCTGGCCAGGCAGACCTTCGACGTGGTACAGGAGTTTACGAACGTTCTGCGTGAGAAGAACTATCCAGAGCTGAGATCGATGCTGTGCATTGGGGGGATTGATATGAGGTCTCAGCTGGAAGTGGTGAAGAAGGGAGTTCACATCGTGGTGGCGACCCCCGGCCGGCTCAAGGACATGCTAGCGAAGAAGAAGATGAACCTCGACCGGTGCAAGTATCTCACGCTCGACGAGGCGGATCGGCTCATCGACTTGGGATTCGAGGAGGACATCCGGGAGGTGTTCGACCACTTCAAGGCGCAGCGCCAGACGCTGCTCTTCTCCGCCACCATGCCGAAGAAAATCCAGAACTTTGCCAAGAGCGCGCTGGTGAAGCCGGTGGTGGTGAACGTCGGGAGGGCCGGGGCGGCCAATCTGGACGTGATACAGGAGGTGGAGTACGTGAAGCAGGAGGCCAAGATCGTCTACTTGCTCGAGTGCTTGCAGAAGACCCCGCCGCCAGTGCTCATCTTCTGCGAGAACAAGTCGGACGTGGACGACATCCACGAGTACTTACTGGTGAAAGGAGTTGGAGCAGTGGCGATTCACGGTGGCAAGGATCAGGAGGAGCGAGAGTACGCGATCGCCTCGTTCAAGCAGGGAAAAAAGGACGTGCTGGTCGCCACGGATATCGCCTCCAAAGGACTCGACTTTCCAGACATCCAGCACGTAATCAACTACGACATGCCGGCGGAGATCGAGAACTACGTGCACAGGATTGGACGAACTGGGAGGTGCGGCAAGACAGGCATTGCGACGTCGTTCATCAACAAGAACCAGAGCGAGACCATTCTTCTCGACTTGAAGCATCTGCTCAAGGAGGCGCGGCAGAGGATTCCTCCGGTTCTGGCGACTCTGGACGATCCCATGGACAACGTCGAGGAGGTGGCTAGAGCCAGTGGAGTGAAAGGGTGCGCCTACTGTGGTGGCCTGGGACACCGTATTGGAGAGTGCCCGAAGCTCGAGCACCAGAAGAGCCAGGCCATCGCCGGGACGAGACGCGATTACTTTGGTTCTGGTGGATATGGTGGAGAGATCTAGAGCTGGAAAGCTTGCGAGGAACGAGGAAAAGAATTGGTGAGCTTGTGTTATTTTGACAGTGTTGATTCTTCAAGTTCTGTGGCACTCTTTTCTTACCACCCCGTTCGTCTCGTTCTTCACACCGACGTTTCCGAGCTTGTCCATGGAAGCCGCAAAGACTTCGTAGAAGAGATCCTGGCTGCTGGCAAATGCGTCCACGACGCTGCGAGTTCTTGCGTTTGTAAGGAGCTCCTGGTCGGAGGTGAGAAGGCCCAGACCTCTCTGCATGCTCCGGTAGTAGGAGTTGTCGAACTGGAAGGGTGTTGCTGCGTCCATGCTTGCTACCACATCGGGATTTCCATTTCGCGGAGGGCAAGCTCGTCGTAGTTCGCCGAGGAAGCCCGGGTTCATGCTTGGATCGCCGGCTCTGGTGCCGTTAAAGTTGTAGATCCTGTTCGTGAATTCCGTGCAGTGTGCAAAGCCGATTGTATGAGCACCTGGAAGAAGAACGAGGGATTAGCGAGCAGCTTAAAAAGCACTGAGAGAGTGCTTACCAGAGAGCGCTATCAGATCGATTTCATTGAGGCCCTTGGAAGCGAACAGCCTGGTTAATTCGTTGATAGATGCTGTGGAAGTCGGGAGATTGCGGCCAACCCGGGAAGCCATAGACAACCTTCCATCTTTACGGCCTTTCCTGACTTCCCAGAAAGGACCACCAACTAGCTGAACCAAATCCCTCGTGATGATAGCCAGAACATCAGCGCAAGAGACCACACCGGGACAAATCTTTTCCACTGCTGCTTTAGCTCGATGAACTGCATCAAAGGCATCTCCCGCTAATGAATGATTTATCTCCTCGTCTCTTTCAGCCTTGTTGCCAGGAGTTGACGAAACGAGGACCGAAGCATCACATCCCTGGCCTCAAAAACAAATAAGAAAACTCAAGAACCTCAGGAGAAAGGACAACTTACGTCAACGAAGCAGTCATGAAAAAAGAGCCGCAGTGTTGCTCCAGCTGTTGTTGGTGCTTCCCTTATCTTTTGAACCATCACCTGTCTGAGAATGCTCTCGGCATGCGGGCAAGTCCGCTTGTAGTAGTCCACTGTCAGCTCTGAAGTTACAAGCATGAGCAGAAGTAACACGGTTAAGCTGAAACACAGGCCAGATGAAACCATACTTCGGACATGTTTCTCTCCCTTCCTCGAATTCTTGTAAGAGGAGAAACCTCGTATGCTCGGCAGCTGGAAGACCAAGCACTGGAATGCATGGGATGTGAAAGAAATGCCAGACACATGGTAAGCATGCAATAACGGAAACTACGTTACCGCGTTGACTAGAAAAGCTTGGATGTCTGCCCAACATTGATCCTCACATCCCTGGTGTATATGTTACTTAGCCCAAAGAGTAGTAACACGAAGACAACTTGCGCGCTCATGATACCGAAGTGGCTTATGCTGTTGCCAATCTCCATCCAGCTTCCCGTGTTCCGGACCTTACGAGCAACAGAAAATTGTATGCCGTCAGAAAGGCACCAACACCATCAGAAACTTACAAGGAAAAAGAAACGGATCGTCATAATGTCCGAGAGAATTAAAACCATGAAGTAACAACCAAGACGAGGTAGGCTCATGATCTTCACGACAATGCTGAATGCGCATCTGCAATCACAACCACGTCAGAACGCATAACTGAGAGTCAGCAAAAGAGCGTACGTTACAAGGATGAACGGTATGAAGAGCTTGAAAAGGAGAAGAGCTGTCATGATAAATGGCTGGAAAACCCCGTAGTTAGTCGTATCACAACCACTTCAGTAAGCAATATCCTTACATCAAAAACGGTGATGAATCTGTACACAGAGGAGATTTCGAAGCTCGCGATGCTTGCGACGTTTCCAGTTCCAAAAAACGCCACATTGATCAAAATAAGCTGCAGTTAAAACATCGTAAGTCCATGAAGGATAATGATTGCTAGGCTTACAAAACACAGCGCTACATGCACGTCGGTGAGTTTCAAAGACCTCCAGGAAACATGTCGTTCGCCTTTGGCAAATGCAGTCCATTGGATGAGCCGTTCACTGGCCGAAAACTCGTTGGTAAAGGAATTCCGTCCAAAAGACGAGAAAGTGATAGCGGACTCCACCAGAATCCAGGAGAACAATACGCTAGCCAAACCACTATAGAAAAGTGCCTCGTAGCTGAAGACGAAACACTGTTAGTGTTGCCTTAACCGTAAGGAAAAGTTTACCCGATTGAGAGAAGTAGAAATGGAGGTGCAAATCCAAGAAAAATTGCACAAACTCTGGCAATTATTGTTGGCGGAGATCTTAGAGGGAGAAGAATTGCTACCCCTGAAGACAAGTAGGTAGATTACATCCAAACAAACAAGCCGAGGAATTTGAAGTACCTGCAAGGGACCAGTTGACGACCTGGAATGTCAAAGGTAGCTGTCTCCTATGGGTTCTGTAAGAAGTCGTGACCCATACCATGAATGATGAAAAACAAACAAGAATTATCTGCAGAAAAGAGTGTCAGGAAACAACTGTTGTAGATAAGACGCTACCTGGACAACAAAAAGTACATCTCGTTCAGCGGAGAGATTTTTATCACGCACTAGTTGTCGTAGAATAGGTTCTTTGGGAACAATTTTGTCAATCCACCAAGCAGCGAATGCAAGTGCTACTACCAGGAAAGCACTTCCGACACTGTAAACATTTTGCAGGTGGATCATCAACCTTACAAGAAAGAAAATCTGAAACTTACACCAGTGAAACGTGTTCAGGAATTTGTGGAGGCATCAGTGTGAACCCTGAAAGAAACCAGCAAGATGCCCAGACGAAGGCTGGGATCATTGAAAGTCCAGGAAGGTTCATGGAGATTGTTACAGCTCCTACCACACCAGCAGCAAAGAAAAAGCCTGTGTACACTTCTCTTCTGAAAAAACTTGAAACCTGCAGAAAGATCAACAAAATTTCTAAACGTAGACGAGCATTACCAAAAGCTGAACAATAACGGAAGAGAGCATGCTTGCGAATAGAATTTGGAACTTTGAAACCTTTCCTGTTCTTACTGCGATCCAAATGCGTGTAAAATCATTCGGACTGGCGAGTACACGCTGCCAGAGGAAGATTCCAGTACCGATATAGAGAAAGTATAGTATAGGTGACTTTTCGAACATCAGCACCATAAACAGCGCTGCCGACAAGGTTCCCATGGCAAAATTACCCTGAAAGGAACTGATTACAGAAATGATAACCAAAGGAAGTTTGCATACCAGAGAACTTTTCCTTTGTTTACGTTGGAACAGCGGCGAACTGGCATAATGCCTCAACAAGTGTAGGATTACGTACAGCATCCATCCTACGTAGCCAAACGTAATGGTTCCCATCAAAAACCACCAGTCGTAAGTTTGAAAATAATGCAGGCCATCCAAAGATAAACTGATCAATTTCTGTGTGGAGTCCAACGCAGCCTGGTATTGCTGTAGACCAATAAGCTGTTGTATACGGCTCGTAAGTTCCTCGTAATTTTTCAGAGAGGAAAATGGCCTGAAAAAGAGCGACGTTTCCTGCTTGATATCTTATAGATCCGTTAAGGAGAGCTCCTGGACTTCACCAAAATTTCTTAGGATACGTGATTTTCGCAAGAATTGGTTGAGTAATTGCTTTGCATTCGCGAAAGCGGCCTCGGCTTCGTCAGCCTGAAAAACGATGCAAGGGTTTGACAAAGCACAAAAGCAAGCTTCATATCACCTTATTTAAAAGCAAGTAGCCTCTTGGCAGCACACCAACAGAGTTTAAAGGACATGGAAGTCCAAGAAGTACCGACTGAAAGAAACATTCAGCGTAAAAGCGTGAGAGCAGAAAAAATTGTCTTTACCATAAGCGGTGCAATGTCCCCTTGGTTGACATCAACGCGTTCGAGATTTTGAAGTCCCCAACTGTGAGGCGTCACCATGTGGTGTGTGTGCTGATCGACAAACTTAAAACCATCGTCTTCGTCGTCTTCAGGTTTTGCAGGACTGGGACCTCGGATGCCCGCACCCCAAGCAACAAGTGGTGTTTCCGTGTTTTCTGGTTCTCCATCTCCATGACTACCTAGCAAGAAAAGTCAGTATTGAATAGGCAAGAAAGCATCGACGAGACAGACCTTTATCACTCATCCCGTGGTCGGCTGTAAAAACGTATGCAGTTCGTCCATCAGAGTACTTCTCTTCCATAAGCTTGAACACCCGTTCTATTCCGCGATCAACGACCTCCACATTGTTCAAGTATATCGGAGAATATGGACGATGTGCGTGGCCGTTGGTGTCACATCCCAATAGATGCAAGAAAACAACAAGCTCTCCACTTTGTAGAGTCTCTTCGACCACAGAATCTCTTTTGGAACTATTTATCAGTTGTTCAAAACGATCAAAAACCCAAGTATCAAGGAAAGACGCATCTGCAAACAGAAAAAACCATACATTCTTCTAGAATCGAACAAACGAGGCGAACCTGTTGCAAAATCTTCATACTCGTGCGGGTATGCGGAGAACTTTGCCTGTGGAATGTTGCCACAAAAAATGGGAACAATGTCTGGGCTTCCAAAAGCGACCACTTTCTTACTCCTGTTAAAGACGGAATCGAACTCCACAGGATTTGCCTTCCATCCTGAAATCTCCAGACGTGAAGAACGTTAGGCTACAAACAGTCAAAAGGTAAAAGTTACCTTTGGTTACAGCACTTGGATCTTCATACAAACCAGCGATTATAGCAACGTGCCCGGGACGAGACTCGGTTGGAGGGCGAGCATGAGACACGCCCCATTTGCCCTTCTCGTGCATCACATTGTGCAGAAAAGGAGCTCTTGGCGATCCATCCGGCTTGAGCTCGAAGAATTTGTCAGCTCGCAAGCCATCAGCTAATAGATCTTACATTTCAATCACTGAATCCGTGAAAATCTAGAAGGGGATTACCGACAAACAGCACAAGGCGCTTGGCAGGCGCTTGGATCCGAGGCGCGACGGGATCAATCCCATGAACGATCGGCGACTTGAAGTAGATGTCGAAGATGCTGAGCATGAAGAGCGCATGGACCGCCACTCCCAGGATGATGATCTTCACCTCTCGGCTCTCCAT